GCGGAGGTGACGGTCGGTCAGTGACCCCGGCAGGTCACCGAGCAGGTCTGACCGTGACCCGGCAACGGTGGAGGGGGAGGACGAGTGTCTGGGCGGGAAGGAGGTGCGGTCAAGGTTAGCTAATCGGTGGGTCTGCTGCATCGATAAAGAAGGATGGTTCAAGAGTGATTCTTCTGGCACACGACCAAATATCGGTGACTAGCGAAATGTTGGAACGGTTCGTGCGACTCCGTGGTTAGATGCAATCAGTACAACCAATTCCAGCTACGAAGAATATATGGTCTTACCAGTCTTGCAAAAGTTGCAACGTGCTCCCGCCTCCCGGAGTTAGTCTTTGCGGGCGATTTGTATGCATGACATTGGAAGGCTTGTGAAATCGATCATTGGAGTGGAACCAATAAAAGATCGCTGCGTATGTCAAATCAAACTGGCATAAATCCCATGTTTTTAAATCACTCTACAGACACTGAAAAATGGCACACGCATTTACAACAAATGGCTTATAGTGGTTCTTATGGCTTATAGTGGTTTTTGCTTCCTTCACATGTTTCTATTTGCTTTTACTCTCGATTGATATAAAAGAACAAAAGGCAGCAATATTATGTAGGTAACGTTATGTTAGCAACGTTATGTTAGGTAAACATAGAGCATCTATCGGATACAGTGCATGCAGTTGTTAAGGTCAAGAAACGCCGTTTTGTACCCTTGTGGTCTTCAATTGTTCCAGCTGCCAGTGTGGTCGTTTGAAAGTCGTTTCATTGCACATACTCATCATTCTAGCCCGAAACGTTCCATTTGATTTGTCACGCTTTCCTGCTGACGGTGAGCAGCAGCCGCAGGCTGCTAGACAAGTCCGAACAGCCACTACTTTTCTGCATGGCTCGATGGTTTCCACAGTCCATTGCTCTTACGGCTTCAGGGTGGTCGCGGGAGAATGTGACACTAAAAATGATTTCGTGATTGGGGAAATCGTTTGTCTAATGTGTGTATTCTGCGAAATTGATTTCTTAGGTATTCAGACATGCATGAGTGGGTGGCTTCACAGTATGGCGCAGTGTTTGTGACAACATATGTGGGCCTAAGTTATTCCTGTGCACACCATGCATGCCTACATACATAGTAAGTCTTGATAAAAGCAAAGCCGTTGTTTTAACCCTCGCATGTGTGCGGCGTTTTCCAGCTTCTAATGTGTAGGGGGGGGTCGGTTGGACCCCCCCCCCTTGCCGTTTGGCCCCTGATCGAGCTAGAGCTTCGCGGAAAAAACGAGCGTGTTGCCCGTGACGAGAGGAAGCCGATGATACCCAATTTTAAGGTCCTAGGTCATTGGTTGACCTTCCAGGTCAGGTCAATGACCCCAAAGTCGGGAAAATCGGGACCTATTAGAAAGTCGTAAAGTGTGGCTGCTAAGGGGTTTTTCGGGGTGCTGATCACGAATATCGTGTTAGTTTTAATCACAGATGATGTCTTTGAGCATTTAGACCAGGTCGGGTCAGGTCAGGTCAGGTCAACCAGTAGGCGTCGTGACGGGTATTCGTAGTACGTGACAACCGCCTCTGACAGCTTCGTAACATGTTACGAAGGCACCAAAACTACTTCGTAAATGTTCAAATGGTTGCTAAATTCGAATTCAGCTCCAGAAACTAGCCTAGAAACATGTAAAACTCGAAAAAGTGAACCGAGGTCACCCGAGGTCACCAAAGGTCAATGACCTGACCTGACCTTCAGGTGACCTTGACACCCACCCTAATGCATGGGAGCAACATCATATCACATGTTTGAACGTTTGAAACCACGAAAAGCTTGCAAACGCGCGGCTAATGCGAGCCGACGTACGCCGAATCGCGATTCCGGCCAAACATGGTCTCGGAAAAGAGGTCACAGGTCAAAGGTCATTTGGGCCAGGGTCATGAAATTTTCAGGGTAGGTGTAAAATTGATCAATGTGAGGGTACTGAAAGTTTCGTCGCGATCGGCCGCTTTTTACGCGAGTTATTCGCGAAAAACCATGGGGGGGTCCATCCGACCCCCCCTACACATGCGAGGGTTAAAGTCATTTTTCCCAGGAAATTAGTTATGTATGCTCACTTTTCGGATTATTCTCTGGGATAATAATATCTAACTCACAAGTCCATATATTTCGGATGATATTGCTCACCCTTGGTCACTGGACAAAATAAAAATGTAATTATACATGTAATTGTTTTTATTTTGTCCAGTGACCAAGGGTGAGCAATATCATCCGAAATATATGGACTTGTGAGTTAGATATTATTATCCCAGAGAATAATCCGAAAAGTGAGCATACATAAAAGCAAAGCCCTAAAATTATTGACGGTATTGAAGTGTGCCACATTCCATACCTCGGTGGACGCTCTTCCCGCTTTTAACAGTCACCTAATACCTAACTTAGAATTAATAACATAATAACTTATAATTATTATGTTTCTGCTTTGGTTGGAGACGTAACAGCATTTCAAATATCATCCTGCATGTCCTCTCTTCAGTCTTCACCTCTGGAAAAAGTTCGCTGAAGCCGGAAAAAAACATGGGCGCTCATATAGGTGACTTATCGAGTGCCGAACTATTTAAGTCTCACAAATTGCGTCTCGAAGCGTCTCAGGTATGAGACAGCCTATTGGAAGGATTTTGACCTCTCGCTTTTCATCACCGCGAGGCTCGCACCCTGCAGTTATCTGCCATTTCGCGAACTCGGCGCGCCCACACGTGAACGCGCCGTTAAGACGGTCACAGCGGCTGCGCAGATGAGACCATTGTGACGCGCGCCGTGTCGGTGAGACCATTGTGGCGCGCACGCGGCAATGGTGACGGTGCGGTCGGTTCCGGTGCCACCGAACAAGATAGCGGTGAGTCGGGGTCATGATCCCTCTTCCGTCAGTTAGGTAGTTGGGGTCATGATCCCTCCTGTCAGTTATTACTTCGTCGGTGACCCGAGTCCCGAGACAAGTGTCTATTTCAATAAAGTAAAATGATCTACGGATAAAATAGTTTATGTTTGATGGTTATTTTCAATGTTCATTGTTTCCACTAGGCGTGTTCACTTGTTCAGTGTCTTCAATAAAATATCGTGATGAGAATTCTATTATTAACACGCGCAGTGGAAGGGTTGCGATTACTACGCCCAGTGGAAGGGGGGGCGGATGTCGCCCCCCCATAAGATCTCAGCTCCCACTGGAGCTAGAAAGACGAAATTTGGAGGGTAGGTGGGGGCTATGGGGAACTCTGTTGTGTGTGAATTTCATGACCCTAGGTCAATATCTTCAAGGTCAAATGAGGTCAAATGTGGTCAAATCTGCCATATTAGCGACTTTTTTGCGTTTACGCGCCGATAACTCAAAAAGTTACCGGCCGATTTTCTTTAATCTTTCACTATACGAAAGAACAAACATTTGTGAGTATGTATAGCGAATTTCTAGTTAATCCAACAATAAATATGGCAGTTAGAAGCCTGCTCAGGGTAAGATGTCGCCGGCTGAAGCGGGATCGGCCGACGCGGAAACGCGGCAATCACAATTTTGTGTTTACACACTCATAACTCAAGTTGTTACCGGCCGATTTTCAAAATTCTTTAACCATATGATTGCCTGTACATTTTTCAGTCTTCTTACCAAATTTGACGAGAATCTAATCTAATGAGCGGTAAGGAGCGCGATGTAAAGACGGAACCGTCCCGCCCCGGCACAGTCTACAATTCAGGCGGCGCGTAACGGCTAGCGCCGGCCGCCGCGCCGCCGCGCCGCCGCGGCGGCAGGATGTTTGACTTTACAGTTTACACTGCTATTACTAGAAAAGTTGTGAACCGATTTTTTTTTACTTCTTGCACGAGAAGATCCGCAATTCAATTCTGGGCAGGTAGCCGAAATTTCACATTGATATTATGCTTGCGGCGCGAGTTATTGGCGAAAAACAGGAGGGGTGGGCGAAATCCGCCCCCCCCCTTCCGGCTTCCACTGCGCGTGTTAATAGGCACGTCATAATAATATTTTTTCTTATAAATTAGTCAATGTCATACGATAATGTGCTTAAGAAGATGTCAATTGAACCGAAAATACTGTTTTTTCAGTAATTCTGAGATAACACTATATTTTCGCAAATAAAAGATAATTTCACAATAAACTTACAAGGCCCATCTTTGCTCAATAAATGTTAATTTCAACTTCCATTCGCCTTTTTCTCACGAACGACGATAAAAATGCTTTAATCTATACGATTTAGCTTACACACCAGTTTCCATAGCTACGTAACTAGAGCTAGATACCTAGCTGGTTCTTAATTGGTACCATTAAAAAAACACTAGTTGATAAAAAAAAACAGATGCGTTTTAAGGAGATCATTACTAAATATTTATTATTCTAAGTTCTTCAACAAAAACACAACAATTATCGGCCAGCATTTACAACAACCAATTCTAGCAGGTAGCAACGCGTTAAGACCAATAGAAATATAGGACTATTGTCGTGGACATACAATATGTAATATCTCAACCTAAGCCTAAACACCATGAATACCTAAACATTCCTATATGCTATTTTACTTTGAATTATCCAGCTGGAGTCACGAATAAAACTGGCAAGTGACGCCATGCATTGATTTCTGAATGATCAGCACCGGGCCACATTTCACATAACAGTCATTCAGTTCGCAAAGTTCATCGTGCTTCACCTACACTCCGCACAGGCAACCCTCGGTCATGACAACAGGTGACCGAGTGGTGACCCCATAGGCGCGGGAACTACTTTCAGACTGGGGGGGCACACCATAATGGAGATCAACCTAGGGTACCCCCAAATCTAGTTTTCTCACCGGTTTTAGGCCACTTATTTTTCATCCCTTGGCTTTTTCAACAAAAAAAAAACATTTGCAAAAAAGTGCGGTATTTCGTCTCAAAGTTGTGGGGGCACCGCCCCCACGGCCCTAGAGTTGGGGGGGCAAGCTGCCCCCACTGCCCCCCCGGCTCCCGCGCCTATGGGTGACCCTTCTACCACACAGACGCCCATCTTCTTCGCCCCTCCCTCCCCTCAGCCTCACAGACTGCCCGCCGGCTGCTCGACCGCCTCTCCGATGTAGTTGACCTCCGCCTGGTAACCATCCTGACCTCCCGCGGTGTAGGTCACCACCTGGGTGCGACCGTCGGGCAGCTGCACCTCGTACCGGCCGCGTGTGATGCCGTCAGCCGCCGCCTGCTGCAGACCGAAGGCGGCCCCCGACTCACGTCGTCCGTCCACCAGATAACCGTACTCGTACTCGATGCCGCCGTCTGCGTCGAGGGACTGGGGATAAACGAAAATAGTGAATTGTTCTTATATCAGCGTGACGAGATCTTACACAAATTAAAGAAGTCAGATCATACAACGTTAGTAAAGTTTGATCACAAGCCCAGACACATTTTAAGCAAAAAGGCACCGACATGATGTGGACAGAATTGATCATAAGCATGTCAAGGAATAAATCCTAGTATCATCATATCATGATGTCCTCAGATGTAGGTATCACAGCATAAATAAAACTCGGCCAGAGAACACTGTTTAGCGATGACCGCGCACCAAATCCGCTGCTGCTCACCTGACTATCAGTGTCCCGCACGGGGACACCGGATCCCAGCACTGCGTCCTCCGCCGGCGGAGACAGCTTCCTGGCCCCCCTGCGTCGCGACGGCGCCCCTTCGAACACCGTCTCAAAGGTGGGAAACTGCGGCGGTGCCCGGCCGAGCCCGGCGGCGCTCGTATCGAAGAAGTCGTCGCCGAACAGGTCAAACTGCGAGATCGGCCGCGTCGCCCCTGTCGTTCCGTCGGCATCGGCCGCGACGAACGACTGCACTGTCTGCGGCGGCTGGAAGGAGGCCGGGGAGGCCGCCGACTCTGGCTCAGACAGCGGAGCCGCCACGCGCACTGTGAAGGGCTCGTGGCCGGAGCCGGGAGCCAGCGGAAACACGGGAATCGGCCGCTCCTCTCCGGCTAACTCCAGGTAGACGGGAGTCCGCTCCGGCACCTCCTTGTGCACGACTGGAATGGGGGACAGAAGCTCAGAGAGCGGGCGGGTGGTCGTAACTCCGAGAGGGAGCGAGCGGGTCGCAGGTTAGAGGGGAGCAGGACGCAGCTGAAAGAGAGAGAGAGAGAGAGAGAGAGAGAGAGAGAGAGAGAGAGAGAGAGAGAGAGAGAGAGAGAGAGAGAGAGAGAGAGACAGACAGACAGACAGACAGACAGACAGACAGACAGACAGACAGACAGACAGACAGACAGACAGACAGACAGACAGAGAGAGAGAGAGAGAGAGAGAGAGAGAGAGAGAGAGAGAGAGAGAGAGAGAGAGAGAGAGAGAGAGAGAGAGAGAGAGGAGAGTCGCAGCTCAGCGAGCGAACGGGTCGCAGCTTAGAGGGGAGAGCGAGTCGGCAGCGTGCTAATGTTGATCACGAGAAGAGTTCAATTTATACATTGGAGGTGAACTGAAGCCAGAGTAGAACACTTCCATATTAGGTATAGATAAACGGTTCGAGGGCATCGTATTTCGTTTTAGCAAGACAGTTGTGAACTATTGACGTGTTTTCAAAATATGTATAGTTCATCATTGCTGCCTGCGCGGTGTAACGAAATCAATCTGTATTCAATAAACTGTGTGCATGTTCATGTTCCTGTCATACAATGTTTTTTATTATGGGTAGCTCGTTATAGGTACTCTAATATGTGTGTGAGATGTAAATAACTAAATTATATAATGGGGGCACTTCTCAAGGGCGATATTTACGAGTACACGTGCGGCTGGTCAGTAGGTCACCGACACACACTCGCCGGCTGTTTTCACTTGCTCTCACCTGGCTTGCGGCCCTTGGTCGGCCTTTTGCCGCGAACCTTGCCCCTGGCGTGCCCTCTGACGCGACCCCGGACTCCGGGCCGGCCTCTGGGCGCTCCGGCCCGCACTCCGGGTCGGCCAGGTTTCCCCGGACGTCCGGGCCTGCCGGACCGGGCCCCGTCGGCCTCCAGAAGCAGCAGACCGAGCAGCACCACTAGCAGCAGCACCAACTGTGACAGGCAGACGACCAATGTCAGTGGAGGGCCACACGGAATAGAGTTCAGTGATGGTGAATGCAGGTATAAATGGTACACTTCCCGAGGGGTGTTTTTTTGTATTCAACTGACGATTTTTGTTATAACAGAAGCGCGACGCAAACACGCTGGCACCATCATGGGTCGAAAATCTCCAATAGGAAAAAAATTGAATAGTAATATAATAAAAAAAACTATGGGAAAACGACAAATGATCCAAATGCCCCCTTGGAGCCCATTACCACAGGCACTGCAGTTGGGCCTATAGTTGGCAGCCTCAACCGCAACTGCGCTAACGAGAATTTATTCGAATGTCGAAAGTAAACTCGCTTATTTAGACACATACTGCTAAGTGCTCCACCATGATTAATTAGTTAAATAGAAGTGTTGCAATAAAACTAAAAGCAAAATAATGGTTTGTATTATTTATAATATTTATATTTATTTTCATATTTAATGACTGCCGGGCCGTTTACCTATGCATACAAAAATTCATTTTTATTTCAAAGCAGTTGCGCAGGGTTAACAGCTTATTCATCCCATATTTCCTCGGCCTACGTGACATTCTACTCGTATATGTGATATGAGATCCTCAGCTGAGCCTACGTGAAAAGGAGCATGCGTCGACTTCAGCTCAACACTCCAAGGAACCAGAGCCGCCGAATTCTTACCGTTGTTCTCAGCTTCATGTCCTTTGGGCACGATAACACACGTCAGTCCCAGTCCCAGCCACTCAGTTCTGCAGCCGCTCAGTCCTGCAGTCGCTCAGTCCTGCAGCTGCTCAGTCCCAGCCGTTCAGTCCGCCAGTCAAACTCCACCGGTCAGCGCGACCCACACCGTCCAGCTTTCTCATCAGCACTGGCCGATTCACGGGCCGACAGTCGACTATGTATAACCATCCGGCCACAGACCCGCCCCAGTAGACCACACTGCGGTGAGAGGAATAGGCCCCCCGGAGAGAGAGAGGCACCCACGCCACTTAGCTAAATCTACAAGGCCACATCATGCAAGATATACGAGTACGCAATTTAGAACAGATTGCAAAGTGTAATAGGTAAAATGTTCACACGACTTATGAAACTATTTGCTTTTATATTATTCATGTAATCCTTAGTTCCTCAATTATTAGCCAGTAGACAGCGCTGTCGTAACACATAGGCGTGACTAATAAATTCAAACACGTAACAGTCACATATTTTTAATAGTACCCGCTTCAAACCTATTTTTATGATATAGTTACTAGGCAGGCGATGATCTTCATAATGACACAATGACGGTCACAATTAATTGTTTTTCTCGGAGATGCAGCATTTTAATCTGCGCGCATGCAATGAAGCACGCCGCACGGCCTGTTCCGGCCCGTATCACCGCTTTCCGGCCGCTTTCCTCTCAAGCAGGGCCGTAAGCGCTCAATCAAGTCTCTCCTCTCCCGAGCGTATACAGGCCAGTTTCTCCCAATCTCACGCACCCTCGGGCGACCGCTGTGGCTCACGCCTCGACCCGGGGCACCGCCCTCATCCGTGCCCGATCCTTTGTGTCACGCAGCATCGGCCGGCTCCCCGCGGCATCGTTTCACTCCACCATGAGAGAGGTTCGAAAACAGCTGAAATTGGTGCAGTTGAATGACAAATAGGCTGCGCAGTTCCCAATCTTTATTTCCGTGTTTGTTAGGTATCTGGCAAGACGTCACCATAAGTATTCAACGTTACACTGAGTGTACAATGTACAATGTACATATATACATGCAACATCTTATGATCAGAGCCACGTGAACAGTTTACGACCAGATAGGCTAGCGATGGAACGCTTGATGACATAGACACCATCGTACCTGTTTAGGTAGGTTCATACTTCATCGCAGCGACTACATTAGCAGGTGACGCAGGCCCTTTACACTCCTCGGTGCTCAGTTCTCGTTGAATTCGCCGCGTGGTCACGTCAGTAGTCGGTACCGGCGCGTGGTCTCGTCCGTATCGGCGCGTGCTCTCGTCGGTGTCGACGCGTCGGTTCCGCGCGAGACGGCTGAGAACGGCAGTCCACCGACATTCAGTCCCCGGACGACGGAGTGTGAGCCACTGGTCGTAAGCCTCCGTCTGCGGACCTGCGACTGCGATTCTCCGCGACTGGCCTTACCGACCACTCGTGATAAGTAAAGACTGCAGGGCACTTGGTCCGTGGCATAGTGATGGCATCCACAGCGCAGCCAATGGAAAAGGACCTCCACGGCGTGAGCACCATCCAAAAGATCATGAAAGAAGCGGTGCAGATGTCGCAAAAGGAAGAAGTGGAGCTAGTCGCCATGCTAAAGAAGAAGGTCAGTTCGAATGGTAAACTGTCATTACAAGTGTTATGTTTGTATTTATCTGTATAATTGCAGATGTGGAAGCTGGGATAGTTCATGGAATAAGACATAATGCATAAGTTGATTGTTGATCGCCTCTTGCACCAAACTACCTAGCTGGGTAGAATCGAAAAACCTGTTTCAGAATAAGCTAATCTAACGGTGGTAAATTTGTTTGCAATAGCCCAATACATAATCATACATGTGCTTGCTAAATTTTGCACGCAAATTGTTACATTTGAGACTTGGACTGGGTATACGATGCAAAATAATCCAAGCATTGGTGCAAGAGGATTTTGGTGCAAGAGGCCTGTTTGATTTGGTGCAACCAATATTTTGGTGCAACCTGTTTGTCAGTGAGTATGTGAGTGAGTTTGTCCAAGCTTTTTTGGACCTGAAGTCAAAATGGGTGGACCGATCGGGACGAAAGTGGGAACGTTTGATTCGTCTCCGGCGAGGTAAACTTTTGGTGCTGGCCTCGGTTCGCTCGGTGCTTCGTGGCACATGCTATTCCGCTTCAAAGTTTCGGTGACACGAAATTTTTTGTCAAGGCTACAGGTCAACCCGAGGTCACGGGCAAAGCCATACTGGCGGGACACATCGGTAACACCTTGAACCAGTTTCCAGGGGGGTCACCGTCTGCGAGGGGTGCAGGCTGCACGTGCTGGGGTCGGAAAACCGTTTTGACGTGACGTGGTCGACTAAAGACTAGTGATGTACAGTATGTCTAAAAAGAATGTACCGTCGCCACTACGTGGCGCTGGTGTCGCGAGCCGGTAGTTGGCTGAATCCGCACCAGACCACACATTCCCAAGCGCTAGGTGACAGCTCTGTGCAGCGGCCGGTAGTAGCGTAAGCCCGAACCTTCGTGACACGACCCCCGGGGGGGGGAGGGAGGGGATCGGGCGGGGCAGCGCGTGTAGGGAGGGGTGCTCCGGTGGGCTGGCAGTTGTCGCGGCCAAAGGTCAAGGAGTCACACACCAAGCGAACGGACGCTGATGTGGGTTCGTGGGGATCGTGAACTTGTGTGTGGTAGGTGCGTCTTGCGATGCACGGGTGATACGCCATGGGTCTAAGCCAAATGATTCAGGGGAGAGCTGAAGAAAAACACCTGGTCAACTACGGCGAATAATGGTGCTGAAAAATGGAAAGTATGAGTCAATGCAAGCATTCATGATTATAAACAACTTTTCTGAGGACGCAAAGGCCAGCATTGAATAACTATATCCGGATCGAAATAAGCAGTGATTTATAATTAGGGGAAGCCGGGGGAAGCCCGGGCGCGGGGGAAGCCCGGCCACCCCGTTTCCAGCTAAATTATTCACAATAAAATGCTCAACTGTTTGTCCTTTCAGCGTGGCAGCTAAGGTAACGCCAGCAAAAAAGTTAAGGCTGACAAAAATTGCATATTGTTAAAGTTATAGCGCAAAAATGATATTTTAACCCTATTAGTGGCAGGGGGGGGTTGTTTTTATCCACCCCTCAGGTTTTTCGGGAATATCTCCAAAACCGCTGAAGCTACGATGCTGAAATTTTCTGACTTTTCCTAAAACTAAATTGAGCACATTCCCTGAAAATTTCAAGATCATAACTTTACCAGGGGCGGCTCCAGAGCACTGGGAATTGGGGGGTCCTATTCGTGAAGCAAGTCATTTGGGCGAAGATCACGATGCTGCACCAGTTTTACGAACAGTGAATAAAAGGTATCATGTGATAACATATACAGTTATTGTGCATCCTCTTTTGACACGTTTTTGCTATAATAGGCGGATCCAGGCGTCCAAAAAGGGGGGTTATGTTTTACCTCCCAACATAGGTGCCCTGACACCGCCTATGCATTACCAATACAATTTTAGTCGTTCTCTCATAAGAAAATTATAACATAACAAGACCATTACCACCCTTTTTAGAAACAGTACCAACAAAAACCTTATTTACTATACTTTTTGTGTACCCCCAATCTCAATGATCTGTATCCGCCTATGATTTTTGAAAATGCATATTTTTAGGATCCATGTGAATTCCTGGTTCATTCTCTATCGATCGGCAAAAGTTGCGTTAAGATTGGTTCAGAAACCTGGCCGTGATAAACAGTCTAAAATGTATCTGCAATTTGCCCGTTTTTACCCCCCTCTACCCCCCAATTGACATTTTTTAATTTTTATTTTTTAGAAATGTAGATCACGTTGAGCGAAATCGAATGCCGTTTGAATTTTGAAAATCGGCCCGTTAGATCTCGAGATATCAAGGGGGGGTCGTAAACAGCCCCCCCTGCCACTAATAGGGGGTAGCCAGGAGCCTGCCACTAATAGGGTTAAGGGTTTTTAGCTAAAAAGTGAGATATCTTGCACCGTTAATGTTATACCATACAGTACTAAGATTTATACGAATGTTATGTAAGGACCGTTTAAGTGTTTGTAGTGAAGGGTGACGAGGCAGGCTGGCTTAAGTATGACATTTTTTTCGAATATCGCTGTTCTAAAATAAAAATTAGCACATTGGGGTAACCCCGGGCGAGTGGCCAAGCTTACCCCCAACCGAGAGCAATGCCACTAAACCATTGTTTTCCATGAGATAATAGGTACTGAGCAGGTTTGGTTTGCACCTAGATCAAAGATAAATTTCGAAAATAAGCATGTTATCATAGACAAAGCCAGTCATGTCACTTAACCCTAGAACGCCTAGGGGGGGGGGGTTGTATCAACCCCCCCTGAAGTTTTTTCGAAGTGCACGCTAAACGGCTTGTTGTAGCGGGCTGAAATTTTAAATACCCTCTGGGGCAACCTTTGCGCATCTTTTGCCGAAAAAAAAATTGATCGGGTCATGTCAGGTCACGGAGTTATGACGTCATAAGAGGTACAGCCTCCGGCCGGATTTTCACAAACTGAGTGCCAACGCCCGAGGTTTCCTGCCGGTGGTACGGACATCGGTTGATGGATCGTGATGAAACTTCCCATGCATGTTGGGGCAAGTATTGGCTATCATATGGTCTTAGAAATTTGACCGGGTCAGGTCAGGTCACGGAGCTATGACGTCACAAGAGGAACAGCGTCCGGTACTATTTTTGAAAAGCGCCCGAACCACTATTTTGCTAATTCTTGTCACCTCAATGGGAATATGCAGCAATATTAGCTTCTATAGGGAGCAAATGGACCTCCCAAATCCAAAAAATCCAAAAATACAATCAGATTTCAAAAATTTAAATTTTGATTTTTCGAATTTCTGCCGCCGACTGTGACCTTGCCGACTTCCGGCGCTCCCAATGCGCCATTTTTAGAGCTAGGGAAACGAAATACATACCAAACGATAGAGAATTGATCAAGGAACACGATAGTGAAGGTTTCAAGTGGATATCTCCCACCGTTTTGCCGCAATCGCCGCCGAAAGTTGAAAAAAGTCTATTTTTCCGAAAATTTGACCTTTGACCGGTCAAAAGTAGGTCAAATGTTGACCTAGGACCAAAAAATATACCACCGATCGCGAGATCTCGTTGAGAGCAATCCGTTG